TGTTCCCCTGCTGATGTATTTATGCTTCAGCCAAGGATCCTGAGTTCCTGACAGACACATGCTGAGTGAAAGTTAGTGTCATAACTCAAGTCTGAACACAGTTCCCAGCTCTGAAAGTGGCCTAACCTGATTGTCCCAGGCTGGCATATTAACCTGGTTCTTATGACATACTGTAGCTTGTGCCTGTGAAGCCTGAAATTCACTTGTAAATGTATATAATGCCTGGAATAATTGACTGTTGAATGAAAATAAGTTTTTAAAGCTGTTTTTTATTTGTTTCTACAGCAAGATAGGTTTTACGTTTGCAGTGTGATTGTTAAGCAGCAGTCATCTCTGAGTTGTAGATGAAATAATTTTGTGATAACATGGTCAAAGTAAACAAACCAGTTCATGACAGCAGCTGATGGCAACAAGAGGTTCTTAATCTGGTAGCATCTACAGGAGCTGCTGTAGTCACACTGCACAACATGGTGAAGCATGGATGCTCCAGTTTTGGTGTTTCCGGTGGCCACACTGTGGCTGAGCCAGATGCCTCCACAGTCGACCTGCATTTTTAAGCCACACTAACAAGTTTACATAAATCATAAGTGACTGAGGGAAAAGCTCTCTCTCCTGGTCTCTGACGGAGCTGTCAGTGTAACACAGAAATCTTAAAGAAGCAGTTTCACTGACACAGCCAGTGAGCTCTGTATATGTGCACATGCTGCATGGTGAAGAAACACACAGTGAATCATCTCGTCCTCACTGTTGTACTGACGTACTTGTCTGTGTGTCTTAGAGCTCGTCCAGTGATCAGTGTGAACGCCACGTTGGACATGACGCCTCAGATCATCAACCCAGAGGAGAAGACCTGCGTGCTTCCTGGAACCACCACACCTGTGTCCTGGTGAGGATGCCATTACTTATTTTCAGCACCGGTCTCAGTCTCCCATTAATCCATGTTCTTCATGCAACAGTTTACTGATGGAGAGTGCACAGGGTGTTGTTGTGAAACACTGCTGGAGGCCTTGACACTAAAAGTTCATCGTGGCTGTGAAAGTAAACCAATAATAACCATATGTTTTATTTGCACTTTTCAAGACAAAGACACTTCATACAACCAACAATAATGCTATACAAACAACAAAGAACACAATGCAAACTATTTGTTGAGATGAAGAGTTCCAGTTCAAATGTGCACAAAGCTTCAGAAAAGAAAAGCTGTCCAGGCAGCGGGACTGAAGGGGGATTTATGTATCATAAATCTAACCTGCTCTGTTTTGCAGTTTTAAGGTGAAGTACTGTCTGAAGGCTAGTGGCCGTGGAGCTCCGGCTACTCTCAGTAAGTCCAGCACCAACCGGCTTTTGCTTCTTTGCAACATATCCAGATATGCATTCGATTCTTGTCGTGGCACCTCATTGTCTCCCCTTGGTTTGTTTCCCTCCAGGTTTTCGTGTGGACCTCATTTTGGACCGCCTGAAGCACAAGGAGTCGACCAAACGTGTGCTCTTTCTGCACAGTCGGACCTTTCAATACTCCAAGAACATGACGGTGTCCAATGGCAAAGGCCCGGCCTGCGAGGAGCAGAACGTCTTCCTGAGGGTGAGGAAATGACACATTTCAGAACAGAAGAAGAAGAAACTCTCAGCACCAACAAATGAAACCTGTTTTAGAGGAAGGCTGAGAGGATGTGAATAGAGTCTGGCTGCAGAGGGAGCTGCGTGATGTCTGATAAAGTATGGTCAGTTGAGTCAGGGTGGGTCTGAAGAGTGCAAGCTAGAAGAAATGCCGAGGGTGTGGAGTTAGAAAGAAGTGAGCTGCTCAGACATCTGTAGCCACTGCTCATGTCTGCTGCAGGTAACAAATCACAGCACAACCTCTTACCCAACTGCCAGCGGGCTGGGTGCATTGTGGGTAATGTGGGCGCCAGGTTGGGACAGTGAGTAAGAGTGTGTTGAATGAGAACATGATGTCTCTGGTTCTGCTGAATCAGTTGAGCTCCTTTTGTTTAAAACTGTCCGGTGTAATGATAAATGTGTGGAGGCCACTTAAGAAAACATTCTATAAATGACTATGCTTGTTTAGAAGAAAACTCTACTGGGTACCTGTGTATTCAGGAAACAGTCCAAAATATACACTTGCAACATCTATTTTCATCTTCAAACACCGATGACCCCGGCACTGACTGATAAGAGTGGCCTTGCTGTCACTGAGGCACCAGTGCAGCTGCAGTCTCACCTCCTTGGTGTCTCTCTCAGGATGATCGTGAGTTCCGCGATAAGATCACTCCCATCTCCGTGGCCATGGAATACAGTCTGGACTATGAGCAGGCTGCAGACCTGACCGGCCTGCTGCCCATCCTTGACATATCGGCCCCATCCAACATCACCAAGCAGGTAACACTGCTGTGTATTCTGCTTCATGACGAAGGCAGCCATGTTTGACTGTGTTAGGTTGACGTAAGGCCTTCACCATCTGAAGGACAGCGTCCTTCCGTCTCCTCATTAACTCTGCTTCTTTCTTTCTTCCCACCCTCAGGCTCATATCCTGTTGGACTGTGGAGATGACAACATCTGTAAACCTGACCTCAGGTTGTCAGTGAAGAGGTGAGGAACCGTTCATGTTACTGGCGCAGTCTGCATACTGACTCTGTGTTCCGTCTCTCTAACAAGCTTAGCAACAATTCAATATGACAAGACAGTTACCTTTTATTTACCATTTGGTTCATGTTACCACTGTCATTCTGTCCTTTATCACAGCGACCGTGAGCAGATCTACATCGGCGATGACAACGCTCTGACCCTGGAGGTCAGTGCTGAGAATCAGGGAGAGGGAGCCTACGAGGCCGAACTCCACGTCTACCCGCCACAGCAGGCTGACTTCACTGGGGTCGTCCGCAGTCAGGTAGCATTGCTGCCAGTGCACTCAGGGCTCACTGGGCTCATTGGAAGGTTTAATTCTAGTGACTAAACAGCAGCCATAGCTTTGATAAATATAGTTTAACTAAAGAAGTTGTCAGATGTCGTCTAGCAAGCAGCTGAATCTAACAGAGACAAAACCCTGTTATCAGTTCGGAGCTGAAACAGTCAGGCAGTCGATCGGCAGATACTTTAACCAGCAACACTTCTGACACTATGATCACAATCTGTACAGATGTTTGTGCATGCAATGGGCATGCATTGTCAAAACCTAACACAGTGTGAAAGACCCCCGTGAGACTGACCAAAGCCAGGCATCCAGACACCGTATGTGGAGGAGGCCTGTGTAACTTAGCTATGTTCTTCATCAGGGAGCCTTGTTGTTGCTTCCTCTTTTTTTTTTCTTTCTTATTAGATGTGTGAGACAGATCCTGGAGCTGTTGTCTCACTCATCAGAACCGTGATAGTCAGCAACCAGACACCATTAAACACAGCTGAACCCCACGGCCAATCCTTTTATAGGACCATAATAACAGCATGTGAAGGTGGGAGTGTAGCTATGACGGTCGTGACATCAGTGAGGTGTGGAGGAGGTATCCTGGTTCTAGTTCACAAGTACACTCATACTGAACATCCTGCAAGTTCTTCCATGTTCTCAGTGTTCAGCCCTGGAAACCAACAGTAACAAACATGTAACATGTAAGTAAGTACAACTGAGATATGATGTTCTGCCTGGTGACTGATGTGTTGTTTTTACAGACCCTCACCAGGCTGTCCTGTGCTTACAAGACGGAAAACCAGACCAAGATGGTGGTGTGTGACCTGGGAAACCCCATGAAGGGAGGAACCAAGGTCAGTTATCACTGCGCTACCAACAGCAGTCACTTTACAGTACCAGCAGGTGGCAGCAGCAGCTGGTTCTGGGTGTTTGGGTGCTACTGTGACATGTTGGAGACCAGCTGGTGGAGCAGATTCTAGAGTTAATGGCTGAAGAGACAGTAAACTATTGAGAAAAACCAAAGAAGAAAGCAATGGAGCAACATCAGTGACAACAGTAGCTGTGGGTAATGACCGTGGGTTGTGGGTAGTGCTGACTCTTCCTGCAGCACTGTCTGTCGTGTTTCTGACACATAGGCCTTAATAATAAAACACTCTCTGGTGCTTGTCACGTCATGATGGCAGGCACTTCCTAACTGGATATTGACTGTTTCTTCCTGTCTTCTCTTGTTCCCTGATCGGTCTGTCGCTGCCTCCTCCTGTGCTGTGATTGGCTAGGTGCTGGCTGAGCTGAGGTTCAGTGTCCACCAGCTGTCAGAGGAGGACACATCTGTCAAGTTTGACCTGCAGATAGTCAGGTACAGTCCCATCTGCCGTCTTTGTCCAGAGCCCGCTGCTCAGTTCTGTGGCAGAGGTGTGACCTTCCATCCCACACCAGAGGGCAGTCACCCAACCAGATCTGAACACAGACGCGAAACACATATTTTAGATCCAGTGTAAATTCACACTTCCTGATGGCCACAGATTGACAGACCGTCATTCCTGGTGCTGCGCTTATTAGTTCCCCTCCTCACAGCCGACAACCACTGAGCCAAGTGTCAGTGTGTTGGCCTCAGAAAGTTGCAGCACTGGTCGGACACTGACCCCCGGAAAACGTGGGAGGAGCTCCTGGAGCTGGTCGACAGCCCGGGCTCTCGTTAAAGCAGAGCTGTTTCTCTCATCAGGGAGTGGCTCACGGCTCCAGGCTTCGCATTCCTCTGAGTTAAATTGTCTCTGGGAGAGAGAGGAAGTGATGTTAATGATGGGGTTCAGTTTCAGTCTGGCAGCTCAGGCCTCCTCAGCTCTGTGTTACTGAACGGCAGATCTACTGCTGTCAGGAGAGTTGTGTGGCCTGGTGTGCTTGGAAAGATGCACTCATATCTCACATTTTATGACATCAAACTAGGATTCCAGCTACAACTTAATTTCCAGCTATTAAAAGGTTCTGATTAGTTTTGGATTCACTGTCTGTGTTTCAGCTCGAACCAATTTGACAACAAAAGCCCTCGAGTCTCTAGCATCACCAAGCTGGCTGTCCTCGCCCAAGTCTCCATCAGAGGGTAAGACACACATCAACACAGACACAACTTTAACAAACCCAGTTGTAGATTATTCTATAATGTAAATGTAGAAATCGTGCAGCGGTAACATTTGACCTCAGCTCTGCCTGTAAGCTAGCACAGCTCTCATGTTAGCGGTGTGGCAGCAGCAAGCTGACCCCGCCACAGTGTGAAGGGGGTGTTGGATGTGCGCTGCAGTGACATTTGTAGATTAAGTGAACGGGCTCAGTGATGTACAGAGACTTTTTCATAGGCTGTTGCAGTGGCAGTATTGTGACTTGAGTAGATTTAGGAATGAAAACAAATGATGTGACTGATCCTGTAAAGTTGTTTGGTTAATAACAAAATGTATATCAAACTTTTCAGCTGTGTGTGTGTGTTGTAGGTCATCATCTCCTGGACAGGTGCTGCTTCCCATCGCCAACTGGAAGCCTAAGGATCCTCCTGTGGTTGGAGATGACATCGGACCACAGATAGTACATGTTTATGAGGTACACACACACACTGACTGCAGACAAGTGATGAGGTACACCCAGCTACAGCTGGGGCACTCTAGCAGCTGTCTGCACATTCAGCTGTGTGATCACTTTGCAGGATGTATAGTCAGTGCTGTTCCTGAACTGTGTTGTTTAGTGACAGGGGTTCCTATTAGTATCAGTACGGGTAAGCCAACTAACAGAGGCAGTTGTTTAGTATAATACCACAGCATTTTAAATCCAAAAAAACAAACTAAGTGGACGTAGTTCTAACATCGTGCTCATGTGCTTCCACCCTTCCTCTGTCAGCTCCTGAACAGCGGGCCCAGTACCATCAGTAAGGCGGCGGTGGAGGTCCAGTTGCCCTGCTGCTTTAAGAACGGCTCTCTGCTCTACTTTAACAGCTATGATACAGAGGGTCCCATCAACTGCACCAGCAACATGGAAATCAACCCGCTAAATATCTCCGTAAGAACACACAGGGACAGATGCACACAAGATTACATAAAGAGGAACTACACAGGCAGCTCAACAGTCAGAGCTGTAGGATGGTGGCCTCATCCAAGAGTCTGCCCTGGGTGGTGTTTCTCCTGTTCCTCAGATCACCAAAATAAGATGGGTTTTTTTATCTTATAATATACAGAACAAAAGCCCAGTAAACACACACACCATAAGTTAGAGGGGACAGAGCAATTGGTTCTTGAGACCATCACATCATGTTAACAAGGACTTCCACACTCTACCTGCATATTTCATTTTTATGCCCCCTGCACGTCCTGGGCATAGCATCTCTTAGACTAAATGTCTTTTGTTTATGTAGCCTTTTATAAGTGCGCATAGTCCATTCAATCTGTTGACACTCGAGGCTGCTTGCTCCATCATGGTCAGATCTGTGACTCAAACAGAAACTCAGGTTCAGAAACTCAAGGCCAGTGTTATTAAGAGCTGTCTGACTGCTGATTCCATCATCTCCTAGCACACGCAGCTCTGGGAATGTGATACATTCACATTTAATATCGATCATAACATATTTTGAACTCCTGACTAAGTGTCTGGTTTTCTGGACATAAGAGACGATGAGTGTTCCTCTCAATTCAGTGGTCAAAACAAGCTTCTTTCAAAATTATTAGCAAAGGTCAAGTACTTTTTATCATTCATGCAGGATTGACTACTAGCATGCTCTGTATGCTGGACTCTCACAAGCACCCCTGTCCTGACTTCAGTTGGTCCACAGTGTGATAGATGTAATAATTGTACTATGGGTGTTTCAGAACCCACTGTTCCCAGCAAAGAACGCCACCAGTGTCCCACCCAGAGAGAGAGACACGGAGGGACGAAGCCGAAACCGCATCCACAAGAGAGACCTGGAGGTGCAGAGAGATTCGGAGAGCGACCTGCAGACACTGGTACACACGCATTTCTCTGTTTTCCAGCTGTCGAAACAAGTCTGTACTGTTACAGAACTATCAAGTACTACAGAAAATCTGCTGTTACTCTTGTTGAACCTCACTCAGTACGAAGACTCTACACCACTGCTTTGATTTTTTTAAATAATTAAAAATGCACAAACATAATTCACCAAATCGTGTGTAGGACTGCACCACAGAGGAGTGTCTGCGGCTGAAATGTCAGGTCAGTCGTCTGGAGAGGAGGAAGAACGCCATCCTCTTCATCTACACCAGGCTGAATGTCAGCAACTTCCTCAGGGTAAACAAACAAACAAAACATACAACAAATACAACAAATCATGGGCCTAAGGCTGGGAAATGTTATTGATAACAATAACATAATATACTTTTTTTCAATTAAAAATAAACAATTTCAGCAGCTGAATTTGCACAAAAGCAAAGCATCATAGCATTGACAGGAAAAGAAGACAAAGGTGAATGCAATAACATGGGGTCAAATTAAATGAAAACGACAAGATAAAAAACACAGTTTAAAACATTTGTGGAGATGGCAGAGTTGAAAAGATGAGGTAACAACAGCCTCCCAGGACCAGGACAGCTCATTTCTAAGGTTTCCTTCACTTGTTAAAGAATAACTTGACACCTTTTGACCTTCTGTGGTATGACTTCTTACCTGGTTGCAGTGCTGGACACTGACAGTGCTGCTGGGGGTGGTCACAGGCTCAAGAGTTTCATGTAGCCTGGTGTTTAGTTACTAGTTACTAAAGAAGCTCTCGGTTCTGTCTGAGGGCCGGAGGAAACCCCTGTACAATCCTAGCTGGTAGAAGCTACAGTTCAGAGGCCATAGCTCTTTCTCTCCAGCCCTGTTCGTAAATATTTTGGCATAAGTTGCCCGCAGCATTTGAATTTCTGTGATGTGACATGTAACACTGTTTTCTTTCCAGCCTGAGAATCAGAACCACTCCTATGTGGTTCGATCCACAGCCTCGTTCAGTGTCATTGAGATGCCGTACAAGAACCTGATGCCGGAGCTTCCGTCCAATAGCACCACTGTAAGACATGCACACACAAAGGCACCACACTGTGTCAGACAGTAGAAAAATAACCTGCTATAAAAAGAAAGAGATATTTCTAGAATAGGCCTCTTACTGATTAACACTAATGATCTGGGACGTGAAATTTATTACACAGCTGAGCTGACTGTGGTGGTGTGGTGTGGAACCTCAGTGGGCGGTGCTACAGAGCTATAAAGGCCCAGTTCCTAGTCGTATCATTGTCAGATCAGAACAGAACCAGCGTTGAAATGTGTGTGTGTGTGTGTGTGTGTGTGTTTTCAGGTGAATTTGTCGGTGCTGGGTTGGGGGTGCCCGACGCACCTCAGCCAGTCCCAGGCTGGGTGGTGGCTCTGGCTGTGCTGGCTGGGCTGCTGCTGCTGGCGCTGCTCATCTTCATCATGTACAAGGTGAGCGTATACACACATACACAGGATCCATCTGGGTGTTGTCGACGTGTCTCTGCTTTTGTTTTTGAGTTCCTGCAGATGGACTCTGTGCTTGT